ATAAATTTCCAACATTTTGGTATAGTTTTTGTTAGTTAAATATAATTGTAAATATTTTTAATTTAATTTACAAGTCGTACTGATACGATGGGACACCAGATATATAATAATTTTTGAGCTAAATAAAAATATACATTTATAATACACAATGGATTTGAGATATTTTTTTATAATGAACATCAGCTTAATTACAGGTTGTGTTTGTGTTGATACTAATCATACTGTAGTGAACACGACATCGGGTCGCGTGAGGGGACAGAGACTACAGATACTCAACACCAGTGTCACTGAATACATGAATATACCTTATGCTGAGCCCCCGGTTGGGAGACTCCGGTTCCGTAGACCACGACCCCTTCAAACACCGAAACCGGTACACAATTTGTATGAAAAATTTTTAAAAAACTCATTTTTCTTTGACTAATTGCATGACCAGGGTATCATCGATGGCACAGTAATGGGATATTCATGTTACCAGATACAAACAGTATATACTAAACTTGTATTTGGTAACTTAACATTCAGTGAGGACTGTCTAACACTGATAGTCTGGACCCCGAGTGAACACCCACTCGATAAACCTACCGGTGCTTTAAAGCCGGTAATGTTTTCCATACATGGCGGTGCCTTTTCTATTGGCTCCATATACTCGTCAGTATTCAACGCCAGCGTACTGTCCACTTATGGCACAGTAGTTGTGTCGGTTGGCTATCGGTTGGGACGGTTAGGCTTTCTATACGGTGGAGACGACTCGGCGCCCGGAAATGTAGGCCTCTATGACCAACAGTTGGCACTGAAATGGGTATTAAATTGTTTGAAAATAAATTTTTATTAATTAATAGTAAAATGCAATTATAGGTGCGGGATAATATACACGCATTTGGTGGGGATAGGGATCAGATGACTGTATTTGGCGAGAGCGCCGGGAGTTGGTCCATATCGGCGCACATATTGTCGCCCCTATCGCGGGGTCTATTCAAGCGGGCAATTATGCAAAGCGGAGCCCTTATGTTCAATAAACACCGATCCCTAGTGACTACAGCCGAGGCCTTAAGTAAAGCCAAACAATTTGCCCGACAATTAAATTGTAGTGATCCACACAAATGGTTGGACTGTTTGCGGGATATTAAGGACCCGAACCTATTCAGTGAATCCTATGACACGTCCAACACTTATGGCGCCTCTAATGCCGTATTTGGCACTCAATTTCTGCCTCTTTTGCCGCAAAAGGCATTTGAAACACACGCTTATAGTTCAGGTGAATATCAAGGAAATTCATTTGAGATGAACATTTTAACTCTGCTTTAATATGAATTAATATATTACGGTATATTGTATTCAGATTAAAGTAAAATTGACATGTTTATATCGTATAAAATCTATTTGCTCATTATCAATTAGCATTATCAATCATGATCATTCCACACGACTTTTTATAACAATTAATGTTTTTCAGATATTGAATTAATGTCCGGGGTCATGTTAGGCGAGATTTTTGTGGACTTATTTCATTATGATGAATTTGCCAAATTAAAGTCTAACTTCACACTAAATGTGTTTCATAAGTCGGTGATTGAGTTGAGCACAATGACCATGGCACATAATATAGTTCCCAAGACGGTTGGCGACTATTATCTCCGAGATATAGACCTTAAAAATAGCGATGAAATGCTCCACAAATTTCTTAAATTGCTCACTGATTTATTGGTAGTATGTCCGACCTATACATTTGCCAAGAGGTTCGCCAAAAGTAAACCAAATGCTGTCTATTTTTATATTATAAGTTATCAACCGATAGGAGCTAGGGTCATAGGGTGTAGTGATCGGCACATGTGTCACGGATCCAGTAGCCAATACATCTACGGACAGCCCATTAAGACTCCAAAACTGTTTGCGAAAAAGGATTATGACTTTAGTTTGGATGTCATGAGAATGTGGACTAATTTCGCTAAAAATGGGTACGAGATGTGGCTTTGAATAGCATTTATATTATAAGATAACTTTCATATGAATACCATTTCATATATACAGTAAACCACATAAGGATTGGCCACTGTTTTTGACTAATAGCGAGAATTCAGTGCCAAAAGTGAAAGACTTGAATCCCGACGATATGTCACTTGTTTTGGACAATCCCTATAAAAATACATGCGATGGCATTTTTGGGCAATATTTTTCATATTAGGAGCAATTTATTTTAAACAAATTATATTATGCTTGCTAACTATAAATCACTCTAATTATTATTATATTTAATAGCAATTATTTTCAATGTACATTCTGATTAATACTTTACGCTCATTTTAAGGAACTATTCAGATTGTCTCTAGGTCGTATGGTTAAAAAGTTAAAAACATATTTTTGTTAAATTTTAAAAATTAATAACATCATCAAATGTGCACTTTTATTTTACAACTTATATTAAATTATTATATAAATGTATTAATGTTTAAGTTAAAAATATTATATTGTTATGCATATATGGGTATAACTACCTATACTAGGTATAGGTATAGGTATACTAATAAGTATAATACTATGTTTATGTATAGAATCTATTCTTATTAATAGAATATTTTTTGATTCTTTAAATATAATATTATTAAGTATAATAAAATTGAATTAAAATTACTATAAGTTATTATTAAATGCTATATAAACTTGTTTATAATGATTTATATTTGTCCTAACAAATTGTAAGATTTGCATCCACAATATAGTTTTACAAAAGCAATGAATAAATTTAATTATCGGCCTCATATCATTATCAAGATTAATAGTTTAATTTATGATAAAATATTAATGCGATAAATAAATATAATATTTAAAGTTTAATTGTATTTAATATATTAAAATATATATATCTGGTTCAATATATCGGATGATACCTGACTAATATAGGCT